ATATATACATCACATCCAACGTTATTGGTCTTGTTTATCCTCTTGAGATTTTGAGAGATCTTGTGTTTGGTCTAAATCTTGATTTCTTATTTTCTCTCTCATTCCATTTGCTGTTTTGTCTTTGCGATTATTGGGTCGATATTTCGATATTGGTTTCCAAGGAAACTCCCCTCTACTTTATTCACTCGACCTATTTCTTCCTCACTCAGCTACACTCTTTGATGACTAGTTAAGCAGGACGTTTATTGCGCAGTTCGACGATCTGGCAATAGTTCTGAACAATCGTGGATGGAGGAACAGCAATCCATTGCTAATGGGCAAGACATTAAAAAAGTCATAATACATTGAATTTTATCGGCATTACATTCAATGTGTGAATGTGTAACGCGAACGCATAATTGCGGGTTAAAATCTGTTTGCCTGCATGTTTAACCACCAAAAACACCAAACGAATTTCGACTAATTAGGAATGAGGGATTTACGCTCAAATTTAGGCGAATGCAACAGTTATACGTATCGGATCACCCGCCAAAAATCGTGAAACAGTGGCGAGGATAAATGGAGGACCGCTGTTTCTCGAAACCGGCTCATTTTGTAATAAGTCGGTATTTCACTGAAGGCATACAAAGCGCAGTTTTCCGTTTTAGCTCAACAATACCAAGTAGCACTCTAAAGTTAGACAATTTTCTCGAAATAAAATATTACGTTGTCTGAGCTTCAATTGAAAGAATCTGTAGTTTTGGTTAAATTTTTTAAAAAAATAATTTTCATGTTCGTATAACAACATTTATTGAGCCACTTTTAATTCGTAATTCAGTGCACCAAAAGGGCAAAGCAATTAACTCTTAGGTTTATTAAAATTTCATCTTTATAAAGTACTAATTACGGCACTATTTAAAATTATTATTACGTTTTAATTAAATCTGAGGGCCAATTTATTCACTGACCTAATTAAATGATTAGGCACATACACCCTATTCTTTGAGTCCTTCGACAGTTTTATTTTAATTTTGTACAGGCTTAAGACAATGCTACAACGCGAGTGTTATCTTGTGTCTAGGTTTAATCGACGTTAAATTTATTTTAAGGGCCATTTTATTTGTGGCAAAAATTCATATATTTATTTCGAGCTTTCTCATAGGTCTTGATAAAACATGATACAAGGTACTTCTAAACAGGCCTGTAAAAAATGTACTGATATAAAAAATTCGTCCGGTACACTTAAAACGCAATGCATATATCCTGGCAAGAGACAGATTTTGTGTGTAAACGGCCCTCCAGGTGTGTATTCGCTTAAATTATTACGTTAGAGATACTGGTTGCTTATTACATCCGTCTAACCGATTTTAATATTGGCCCCAATTGCACATTTTATTTGATGCATGAATACAGAAATGACACACCATTTTCCTTCAGGCTTGAAAAAATAAATTTTACAATATAAAACTCTCAGACGAAAAATGTAAAAATGTTCATACTGCTTATAATATTAATCGTTTCTGTAATTCGCATATGCGATACATTGAGACTATTAACGGTTTAATAGAAAATTGCAGATCATTTTACTTAATAAAGTTCATAAAATTTCTGTCAAATCCAAGAACCATCTAACCACAATAGTGCACAGAGTGACCAGAAGAAAAATAAAATGCTTAACTAACTTGTCCTGCCAACAAAAAGCCTTCAGTAAGCAATTGGTTCACAGTACTATTGTAGTGGTTTCCTGCGTTTAATTTTTATTTCTTCGGAATTGTACTTTACTTTTCAAACGATTTGAAAAATACTACTTCAATTTCTTGTAGGAGTTTGACGGCGATCATGTCAACGTCTCTACTTCCAAAGAAACTGGCACTTCCTTATTCCTCTTACACATGAGATATTTTCGTATACTGATCGTCATTTCTGTCTATCTTGCAAGAAGAACTTGACCAGCTGTATACCGAAAAGGTCAGATCTAACACGTTGCTTGGGAACCATGTAATGTCTGAAACAATCACTGTGCGGCGCCAGGGTCATAAACAGCAAAAAAAAACTGTTCAAAAAGGCAAATGCATTTTTAACAATCCCATCATTTCAGTACAGTTTATTGAACTATCTGTCCCTTTTTCTTTTAGGATAGATATTCGGTTTTGCTGTGCTATTTATACAGATAAAGTTACGAGAGCGTCAGTCGGTGTATCGGCGTGACAACGACTGATCTTTTCTCGTCAAGTTTCACAGAGACAGTTTCAAAACTTTATTGCATTAAGTGTAATTACATAAGAATAACTTTTAGTTCTGAATTTGGACGATCCAGAAGATCATCGGTATTCACATCGACACGAACACCTCAAATCCTAAATAATTTTGAGTTGTCCCCTAAATTTCAAGGCGCTTATTAGGCAGATTCAGTGCAGAGCGAGCCGCCAATAACCGAACGGAACGCCAGATGGCGTCTTGCCTCTAACAAAGCCATTGCACCTGGAACTTGATATTAAATCAGTAATATCGGAGGTTTTCACGGCGATGTGAATATAGATAGTGGCATCTAGGTTGATGTTTTTACAGTATTTCAGCTGTATGTCGACGTTTCGGGAGGAAAATACTTCCTCAATTAAACTGAAAAGTATTAAAACCCATTTTCCATCGTTCCAATTTTGTTGAAACACAAAATTTCGAAGCCGTCTGTGCTTCCGTTATTAGGTAAAAATATGACTAGATTAAAGTAGACTAATAACACTGAAGCAATATTCCGGCTGATCCCAGAAGACTGTCATCTATTTCTGGCATCAAGAACTTGACAACTGTAAAATGCGGTTCACGTGCGCGTCCTATGAGATTGTCTTTCACATTACTCACGTGGGGGGGATCGATATTTCCTAAACTGATCGCTCCGTTATCACCTACACAGAGGAACCTAACACCACGCCTCCTTGCAATGCGTTCTGGGACATTTATCAATCCACAGAGCCTTTTGTAATGATGCGTGCAAGCTTGAGTAGAGTCTCAGTGAAAACATACACTTCTCATACCAATGAATAAAATGCAAAGCAATTATTTTAAAATACAGACAGACATACACAGTTGCATACTTGTGTTCATGATAAGAATATCATAACGGATTAATAGCTTAACAAATTTAACTAGATACTATCTTTGAAACAGTATAGCTTAGTTTATAAGATGCAGTATTACATGATTTTAATTTCATGGCAGAAGATCTCAAGGCTGGAAAAATTTCGAATACACCTTTTTCATGTCATACTGAAGTGATACAATTGTGAAGTAAGGTACGGGGTATCTTATATACCATAAAATTTCCTCGGATTTTATAAAAAAAACCAAGCAAGATCAATTTTCTCCATCAACACCAAAATAAATTTCCTCCTTTGCTAGCTCGCTCTATATAGAACATTAATTGAAACTAACTTCATGGAGTAAAGTATTTCTTGAGAACAATTTAATATACTGTACCGCTTTTATAGTGTTAGACGTATCTTACTTAAAAACTTTCGAGATTCAGTATGTGTCTCCGGTGGGTGACAAGTGAATTCAGGGAGGTTAGGCAATTAGTTTTTCGGAGCGTCAATCACGAAGACTTGTGACCTTGCGCCTAGATCGGACTGTAGGTTATGGCTAGCTGAAATATTTATAGAGAAATGCAGTAATGGAAGTATGCTTAAGCTAATAAAATAAAAGTAAAGTGGAGCTGACGAAAAACATGTACCAACTATAAAACGACCCAGTTAAACCATCAAATTACACCAATAAAACTACAGTAAACCACACACATATTGAAATTTAATGTTTGTGCCTATGGATGTAAAAGCTGACCTCGAAGCCCAAGGGAACATGGACTGTGCTCTTTACCGAATACGATGATGTAATCAAGGACAATGGCAGACTGTAAAAGTATCACGATTGTTAAACATAGGGAAAAACACACAAAATTTTAATCGGAAGATCGAAAGGGAAGAGACCACCATCAAGTCGCAGATAGCAATGTACTGAAGTGAAACCTAAAGAAACATGACTAAGGATGTGGACTGGCTTCCTGTTATTCAGAAGAGAGTCTAGTGACAGGCTATTGTACCTTCTGGGCGGTTTTGTACAACCTGTTCTAATTTTTACATTCTAAACGCAAAAATCTGTTTCCTGTGGAAATAAAATCTACTACGGGGCAATGCATTAAACAGTAATCGACACTTTTACCTGACGCACGCCACAGTCAATCTCTCGCACCCTGTCTTACAATTTTTCTGAAAAAAATATTATCGGCTTGAGTTCTTTTCATTTGAGTTATAGGAAAACGACCATTTGAACTGGCTCGAACTATATGGGCGGGAAGTGTGGGGGGAGGGGGGGTACCGCTGCGGCATGGGGCCCTGAACAGCGTCATTCAATAGCAAAAGCGTATTCTGATTTTTGTTTTATTTCATGATTCATACAGCTGTCATTTGTTTGCCAGATTAAAGAGCGAAGTAGGACGAAAGAGGAATGAGGAAACATACGAGGAGCGGAACAACTTCGTACCTACACACTGATTCATATTTCTTGTTTGTTCTTTGTATATGTTTTACTAAAATATTTTTCGTTTCTGTACACATTTAAAATATAACTGTTGTTATTTTAGTTTCCCTAAAACTTAAAGCGATTTAAGAAAACAAGCAGTAAGACTCTTGAATGATGATAGAACTATCGCACATTATATAATCGTTGTAAGATTTGAGGTTTTCACAACGGTGAGTATGAAGATTTCTGTCTTCTGGGTCATGATGATTCATCACCCTGATGACGGAGGCAGTATGACCTCTGAAACGTTGGTTAACATCGACCAGACTACACAGCGCAACAACCCAGAAGACAGAAATCTTTATATAATCGTTGTTTCTGGAATTCTACCCTGACCATCTATGTACCTATGACGTTATAATTGAAAATCTATACCATTACAAAAACAGGCCTAAGAGTTTAACCTGTACTGCTGAATAACATAATATAAGACAACCGACGACACTCACCGGACACCCAGGTGCCATTGAAACGCCGTGCTCTGTAGTGTGGGCCCAGCACATCTTCCAGGGTGAACTTTCGACCTTTCACTCGAGGTCCTTCCTCAGGAGGGGACAACAGCACAATAGAGAAAACGATTAGACCGAGAACGGCCACTATGACGAGCAAAGCGATCAGAATCCCTCGCCAGTTGCGTTGGTTTGGCGTCGAGGCGACTAGCTCCTGCAACACACATTGAGGATGAATTAAAACATGCAGCACAGCGAACGAGTGGAGACACATTGGTACAAAATAATATTTTGGGTCGTACACTGCATGATTCATGTTTATAACATTATGCCTCCATAAATGTAATTTGTTTCGTTACCATTAACATCCACACTACATTTTCAGTGAAGCTTATTTCACTTACTGTATAATTGATGGGTGTAATATAATAGTGCAATACAATAAAACTACAGGTCTGTTCTCAAAATATAATAGTACAATGCAGCGTAATGTAGCCAGTACTTTTGAAATATAAATTACACCATTCTACTCAGTTGTCAGTTGCCAGCTTGGATCGGAGTTACATCTAAAGAGTATTTTCGTGTTTTCCTATGAGGCGCATGCAGTAGGGACGCCCGAGGAACGTTGCAACAAGGAGATAAATGACGCTGTTGCTGTATGCCCCACTTTACCTTGGATCTACGTCGGATACGCAATTTTTGTCACATTGCCCTTTTATGAATGAATTCATCTTGAAATTAATTCAAACATGAAGTATAAAGAATTTGAGAAGTCTTTGTTCTACGAATCCTGTTATTTAACTAGCAATTCATGATTTTTGAAAAGTATAGAAATTTATTCTACGTATACTATGGTTATCTGATCGAAAAAGGAGAGGATGATTTGTTACAATAGCTTATTTACTATTGTTCGAGATGAAGACATCTGGTAAATTATCGCAGTAAAATATAACTGTAATATTACCTATGTGAGAAAGTAGTAGTGTTACAATGTTACTTAGAAACAAAAAATTAACTAAGATCATTGTAAAATATGTTTTTGCACAAGTAGATAAGCCAATATGTAAATAAATATATTATATATAAGAACGATAATATACATATGAAGACCAATTTCAACACACAATGAGCATTACAGTTTTAATATCAATTCACACAATGTCCAGAAGCTGTTCAGTTTCTTTTACTTCTTTGTTGTCGAAATTGATACGAAAATGCCGTGCGAAGAGGAAGAAATAAAAATAAATAATTCCTCGTTGAATTTCAACGGATCTTCGCCACTGGTATTATTCATAACACCCAACTTCGTACCGGTGATAATGTTTAATTGCAGCAGTCTTTGTACTCCGTATCTAAAACGTTGTAACCCTGACTGAGCTCATTTGTTTCCGAAATCTAACTGTGGCTTGCAACGGTTCGATCACAAGGAAGTCAACATCACCCCTTACAATAGGGATATTGTGTAAACTTATTATTTATACCAGTCCCTTTCAGGTCTCAAGAAGAAGAAGAAGAAGAAGAATTACTTCAAGAAGAAGAAAAGAAGAAGAAGAATTACTTCGAGGCTTGATGCGTCAATCGATAATGTTTAAGCAATCCTTCTTCCTGAGACTTTGGAGGCACCGGTGGTACCAGTAGGTTTATGCAGAGTTCATCCATGCACTGTCACTGGAAGCTCTGCGCCTTCAGATTTCACGATAACGAAGTTGGTGTTAATGATGCCAATAGAGTAAGTCAACTATTACAACGAGTTAAAATGTTACAGGACAGAATCCGCTGAAGTTGTCGTAATAATTACACGTATAATCCGCGTTGTATTCAGCACGTATCAGGTGCAAATATCGACTAGTACTGGCTGTCGTGACTTTCCTATCGTGGCCCTTCCTAGCAAATAGCGGGATTAAACTTTACGAAACGGGTCACATTTCGCCGCTTGAGAACTGTGAACGGAATTAAAATTGCTAAAAGACATGCCCGAGAATGACAAAATTTGATGTAACTTCGAGTTTTGCTTCAAGCGAGTTATTTGCTTGGTTTCATTATGACACTAAAACGCTGATTCGATTTTAATTTCATATAAATCGGACCAGGCAGTTGATTTAGTTACAGAATATGCATGATACTCAAAGCGCGCAGGTTAGGTAATTACCTATGGCACAGAGAACAGAGTTCATTGATACATTTCGGACATGTTATTATATAAACTGACTCATCATACCAATCTTATGTTGGAAATTGCCCATTGTATGAGCTGTAACTTTGACACACACAGCATTTCAGAAGTTTTCTCTATTTCCGTCTTCGGGTGTCTTCAATGAAAACGGAAGTAAATCAACTTCAGAAACGTCGCGACAATGTACAAAACAAAATTGAAAAGAATAAACTGCTGGTACAAATCTTTACAGAATCATCCAACTGACCCACAGCTGAAAACCCAGAAAGCAATATGGAGGAGTGCAATTTCTTATCCCATCAAGCGCTTCCTATATTTTCTGCACTGCCGGAATCAACAGAAAGAAGAAACCGATTTCCTGATGTCGCAACCCATAAAATGCAAGACAAGTAAAATGCGTTCCCCGACAGTCGATCTGACGTTTCCTTCTTCCACTAGCGTGAAAAAGAGATTGGGTTCTATGGATCCAGGAGCGGAGCGTTCATATTAACCGTGTTAGCCCAGCTAACACTTTGAAAACAGATTTCTCGCAACTTTAATTGCGCAACCTTTCTTGTTGTGTTCCGTGTTCTGACTTGTGACTGTGCATTATGGAACATGAAGTACCATAAAAAGTCACTTGTGAAACTTAATATTCTAAGTTGTACTCATCTGTTTTTTGTACTTCACGATTTATTCCACACGCTATAGACAGTCTGACTAACTTTAGATCCATAAAATATACATACGTACATACGTATATAGATGGAGATTAGTATAACTTGAATATTACTTATCTCATGCTTATCTTCGTGAGTTAGATATTTCCATACCTTTTATCAAACACAAATCTGAACGAAGAAACCGAAGAAAAATACAGACATCTGTATTCTGATGTTCCCAATGTGATAAAGATTTCACTGTATCCATAATATCAAGAAACTTGACAACCTACATCAATTACAATGCGTGTTGTGCGTATTACATTTTATTTTAGGACGGAAAGGACAAAATTTGCATTACAAACTACGTACGTAGGTGGAATTTAATGCTAAAAGTTTAAACGAAGAGGGCGTGGACAGGTTGGATTCATATAGCTCGGGGTAAAGAACAGTGAATTTCTGTGAACATTCAAATGAATCGTAGGTTTTAAGAAATTTATTAACCAGCTGAACAACAACCATTTTCTCTGAAAAAAATGTACTCCACAGACTTAATTGCGGAATGCTGTTCCTATTTTAATCTTGTTCTGCTTTCTACGCAGATGTTATTCATTGATTTGTAAAGGCAATTTAAACTTCGGTTAAATAGTTCCAGTTGCATGTTTACATGTTCAGTAGAAGACCAGAATAACTAGCAGTAGTAATTGCAGAACACTCGTTCTGATTCAATTGTCTGTCTAACAAGCAAACAAAGCTCGACTTTGCATTAGTATAACATTCAATTATATATAGTTCAAAGGTCTGAGCCATTTTACAAAACAGCTCGATGTACCCAGTTTGAAGTACGCGGAGAATCTAAACGCTTTCTTGTCATTCTTTAAAGTATACGACTCTTCGACTCTTTCTATAGAAAGTAATAAACAGTAGAGATGTTACGCTGCATACTCATTATTATTGTTATTCATAGACGAAAGTAATCATTCATTTTACGTCTGAATGAACTTCTATACGATTCTGCAGCAATAACCTCCAAACACCTCTTCCTAAAAGTTGATTTTTCAATCGAAAAGAATCCTCTGTTACACGTGCATATCCAGAAACCCAAATAGATTTTTATTCGATATTCCAACCAACAACAAACTTCAGTCCCTTTACAACGACTTTGGACTTTTTATTGTCACTTTACCTTAAACTCATAACGGAAACGTCATTGTACCGTCAGTGTGTTACGGACGTAAATGCTGTGGAAGGAAACAGCTGCTAGTCGCAGATTGGCCGGATGTGAATGGAGTTGGACAGACACGAACGGCCACAAAGTTTCTTCTAAGTCAGTTTTACGGTGATACCGTAGAAATTTATGAAGCAGACATTCATAATGCAAGTGCAATTGCCCATGCAGTCTGGTGCAGAAGGTTTTCGCTAAATGTAGTAGGCTTGCTTACAACTGAAACATCTCAGTCTTCACCAGATGTGGCCTTTTGAGACTTTTATCTGTTCTCTAAACTTAATTTAACTTCAAATAAAAAAATTGATGCCATAGAAACAATGGAGTAGAACGCACAGGCGATTTGAAAAACTAAATTTAAGAAAGGATATAGGCACTAGCAATAAAGGGGGAAGGGGGCAGAAAGTCAGTAGACTGACTACATTCTGACAGATCCTACTTTAAAAAGGATTAAACTCTCATAATTGTAAACAGAGTAAGTCTATTTTACTTTCCACGGACATGGAAAGCGGTAATAGTAATAAACCGCGAATTATCTGCGTTTTCTAAGGCACTTTAACTGCGATTCTTATATAAGCCTTCATGCAATGCTATAGTTTATAGATACAATACTTTCCTCGAGGTAAATATTGACAATTAAAATATAATATTAAATTAACGGGGTTTCTTGATAACGATTTATGCCTTTAATAACAACCTTAAAAAGTAGGAATAGCCAGCTACAAAGAAGTTATTCCCAAACTCTTAAGTCTGAGTCTTCCTTGATGTGAATAAAACGTTTGAGGTCCCAACACACAAATATCACTTAAAAAGTGATTTAGCAGTTTAATAATATAATTACTAATAAACTTGAATGATACATCCGAAATACTTTTTAATTAAATTGTATGCTTATAATCTGATATCATATTTTGTAATCAATTTACACGTATCATAATTGGGCCATTAGGGGCTAGACAAAAACTTCATGACCCCCTTGAGGGCCGCGGGTCATTGGAAGTTCTAGTTTAAAACATAGCATAAATAGCATAAATAAACAGAATGTGAAAGTGTGAATTGGATTTATCTGGCCCAGAATACTAACCAGTGGCGGAGGTTTTTATGAAAAAGGCAATGATCGTTAGGGTTCCATGAAAGATAAGGAATTTCTTGACTAGATAAATGACTATCGCATTCTCATTAACTATTCTGATTCATGGTGTAAGGTTAGCCACATAGCCGCGCTCCGGTTCTGTCTAGTTATCATACGCACATTTTATGTTTAAAATTTATAATTTCCGCTGCTTCTACTCCCGATATCTCAAAAGAGCGTCTTCCATATTGAATTTGCTTACTGATGAACGCGCAAGCACAAAGACGATAGTGTGAAGAAATCAAAATAAAGAATTACTCGGTGCTTAATCTAGTGAGCCAACGGAATCTTCAAACAAACAGTCCTCCTCTCAACGGTCTATCGTTAAATGATCGTTTAACTTTCCAGAGACAATCGATAGTTACACACATCTGCTGGTTCTTTAAAGTATTTCGTGCGCTTTATTTTAAAACTTTGTTCCATTACCGTTCTCTTTATATATTTGGATACGCATATGATTTTGTATGATTCTCTAAAGATCTGTTACGATAAATGATTCTTTATAAAATACTGTGTTTAACACTGATGATAATGATGATGATCTGGGTTTTGGAGCCGTGTAGACTACAAGGCAGACGCCAACGTATCAGAGAAACATAATTTTCCAGCTTCGCTTCAGCCCTAAAGATGGACACAGTAGTTTCTCCAAAACGTTGAAATCTACCTGCGAGTCTACACGGCACCATAACCCAGATCATCATCATCATCATCATCATCCTGACAGCAGCGAGAACCTAAAACATTACATGGTTAACATAGCCTGTTTTCTGCGGTATATTTGATATACACATTTCTATATTTGGTTTTCTAGTTTTATGTTTTGAGATGTCATTATTTTACAGAATTAAATAAAATAAGAAAAAACCCTAATATAATGGCAACCAATCACCTAAAGAGTGGAGTACATCCATCTCGAAACGTCGCTCAGTATCAATATACCTTGAAAAATGGACTACGTCCAAGATATTATCACGGTTTTGTATGTTTTCGGGGGCGTTGTAAATTTCAAACTGACGATATGTGCCAAGCGTTAAAAACGTCTACCGAACTGCTATGTGATCGGGAGCAAACATTGTTCAATTAAGTCTGAAACACAACTTACATTGTAAGCACTTGCTAATATTTATTTTAAGGAACAACCTTTCTTTAGACAGAAGGCTAACAGCATGTTAATTGATTACTTATAAGCTCCTCTCTTCCAGATTTGATTAAGCATCTCAATTATTTTATCATCATACTTATCATCCACAAATTAAATCATTGAACCGTTCCGACACAAAATGATTCCTTACAATTTCCTTGTTATTCTTTCACAAATTTTACCAACCTGCTAAGTCTTACTTGCATAATAAATGACCCCCATTATTATAAATGGTTTATAAATTACGATGACCAGCGCAATTCCGAAATAACTACAAAATTACACCTAATATGAAGTTTCAGAAGAACTGAAGTATTTTAATAGTCATATACTATTCGATTGCTTATTCTTTTTCATACATACATTAACGCGCTTGGAAATGTACAAGTTAGTCACGAGAAGAGTTCAATTTACCTGTGTGTTTGTTTGAGACCACTTAGTCACATTATAAATGCATACAAAATGCAACGTAACGCTTTCAATTATGACGTTTCATTATGCTTTAAGATTCTTTGTGACTGTACCTTTGTACATTCTCAGTATCCACTGTAACTTGCATGACTTGTAGCTGCTTAGTTTAGAGTAAAACTGTACACGTTTGAGAAGATGAATTCGGAATTTATATTAATCTCTGGATTAATTCGACAAAGTCAGATTAAACTGTGAGGGAGTCGGCAACTATTTCCTATAGTTCCAAGGAGCAGGCAATTTGATCAAGCATGTAGTGGGTCCTAGAGATGATAATAGAAAGTCAGCCGGCCAGTAAATTTCCCGCCCTTTATAAGACTCGAAGTCTCATTTCCGTTTTCAAAGAGCCTGCCACTGATTCCAATTATGACTCAGAAGAAACCAGTCCACAGTCTCATATTCTATCTCTTCAAGACATGTTTTAATATCATGCTATTATCTTAATATCTAAGTCTGTTTCCTTTTTCTTCAGGTTTTCCGTAAAACCTCTATAAAGGGTACAAAACTCCATACCCCGAACAGGAATCAAATTCGTGACACCAGCGTGCGTGGTCTTGGGAATCTTCAGCAACGACACAATACCCGTAGAATACCGAAATAGTTAACAGCTGCTTGCAACGTGCCTCGGCAACACTAATAGAACAACAATAATAGTGTCATTATTTACGAGACAGAAGCAATGCTACGTCGTGGTTCACCAAACATTTATAGCTTGAAGTCGGTGGAGTGAGTTTTGCAACAATATTATCCAATACAGTATTCTTGTCGTCGTAACAAAGAAACTCCCTCCTGGACGGGACTTCGCCTAAAGATAGTGTCTCCTAAAGGGGGACACATACATTGGGATATACGACAGTGGCATACATTTATGTGGGTTACAGAGAGTACGACGACACAGAACACGTCACAACATCTACCAGTCATTGTTACGTACCTCTTTGCCAGGTAACACGGCTACAACGACGCGTTTGATTGGAGGAGGCGGTGGGGGTGGAGCTTGTGGCTGCTGTTCTTGTTCTTTCTTTGTCTGAGCCATGTTGCCAGCATCAAGAACACTGTATTCTAAGCTTAAGTGACGGACGAACAGCAAAGTTCTACCCAATTTTAAGCTGTAGTTCTGTTTTATAACATTGCTGCACACATTTCAATTGCTCTCTGCAACTACCAGCGAGCAATGTGTGGCCATTGACTTCAGTTTGTCTGAATTCAGTATTTCTGGCTTTGAGGCCTGCTATTTCGTTGCAAAAATTTACTGAATGCACTTAATAAAATTGGAGTTCATTACAATTTAGTTTTATGTCGGAAACTTAGTCTCGTTATGAATGTGCAGAAAAATCAGAACACTTGTGACTCAGGGAGATACAAGAAAAACGGTGACGCAAAAATCTAATATATACTGGATTCTGGAGGATGGAGTTGTATCACGTTTAAGGTCAGTTGCTCACAAAAATATTCAGATACTCAAATGATGTAATTGATATTAAAATCTTAGAATTATGTCAAAATTAGAAATGTTGTTTCAAAACGGAACAGATATAAATCTGAAACGTTGCGATTTCTTAGATTTTTTTCTTAAAAAAACTGGACTTTAGAATTGTAAAAAAATATAGCGCCTCCACTCTCGTCGGCTGTCTCTCACAAACTGAAAGCGAACGATGAGCTAGCTTCTAGTGCACCCGGCTTGCGCGGGGCAAACGGAACAACTCCATCACGCAGGGCGAGCGAGCAGAAAACAGAAGGGGGGAAATTCACGAACACATGGCACAGGCTGCCGAAAAAGCCCGAAGTTTAAGCGCAATCACATACAACACCCTTCAACAATTAAATTATATCGGACAGGATCATCAGTTCAACTCGCACAGGAAAAGACTCCTGTAAATAGATATGACTGTATAACCTGAGAGAGAAAGAGAGACACAAAAACTGTTGCATCCAACAGATAGAAACGTGTAATTGTACTCTTACAGCTCAGAGTGGGAAATCAATACTTTGTCCTGTTAATTGGAAAAAGTAGCATTGTGGAAAGCTTGCGGTATTTTGCTCACTGAAAGATACACATTAACCAAATTAACTCTCGCGCTTCAGAAAAGAAATGTATTTGTCATATTTTCAAAACCAATTCTCAACCTCCCGTTTAATGAGATCATTAAACTGTCATCAGTGAACATGTTATGATAAAATTCTCATTGTCATTTCGCTCGAAACTCTCTGCGCTGTTTTAACCCTTTCGTTTTTGCGGAATAAAACGAGTTTCAATATGGCGAAATTCGTAGCAGTCAGTTAACTACTTAATATTGGCATGAAATCGAAAAGAATGTAGTTACGGAAAAGATAAAAAAACGCTTACAAAAATCGACCGTGTTTTATCGGAGATAAACAATATTTAAAAAGCGTAGGTGAAAGAAAAATACTAAAACTAATTTTATAAAAACAGGGTCTGAGAATATGAAGTGGGTTCCCGGAAAAGGTTAGTGTCCGGTGGCGAACTTGGGTAAATGTTATGTATTATATAAAAAGGGAATTTACTTTCCAGCTGAATCACTATCAAACGTTCAAAGCATTTCAGAACGCAGAACTTCTAGAATGACAACGAACAGTCAGGTTACTCGCAGAGAAAGCCCATGGACCGTCCGTGAAAGTGACGGGTGTAATTATTAAAACGACACAAATCCGAGTCCAAAAACTCTGCCTTTTGCTACTGGATCAGTCGCCTTAACGCAACGAACTCCGAAAATACTTGAATTACATCTGTGTTGAAAACACAATAATTAACACCTGTTCAGTTCGAATAAAAGATTCGTATTTTCTGACTCTTTAATACACAACTGAATAACACAAATACTGCATTGTTGGCCTGTGACCGTGTCGGATCTCATATTTCAAAAGTTTCCCTTTGCTATACCGGGGACGGTATAAGGAGTAACTAACTCCTAAAGGGAGGCCAATGAGTATACTAATTCCTTTCGTGCTAGATGTTGTTGCTGCTGCTGCTGCTGATGATGATGACCTCAGATCAGCCCAACGTCATTAACGTTTACGAAATGGTAGTAATACATGAAAACAAGTTACTATAAGACACTCTTCACTCGTCGTGATCCACACTAAACTATTACATTCGGCTAAATGGTTGCTACGTAACCCGCCCATGGAGCACGAACACAAACACACACGCACACATATTATGTTACGGTAGACATTATTTTAACTTCACTCTTGGATCGTCAGCGGACGGACATAAAAAAACGTGTTTACTCTTCTCATAAAACTATTTTAGTACAGATTCCAGAATGAAATGGTTCTTATAAGCCCACGTGTCTGTCCTTCCGTCTATCTATGAGTCTCCATTTGATTAAACATATTACTTTCTTTAAAATAAACATCAAGCTTTTCAGAGGAAATAAAATTTAAGACGAGTCATGACAAAATCCTAACAACATTAATGTTCAACGAGGAACCAAGCTGTACGTATTATTAAATGCTTAATTGGCTTCCAAGAAACAATATCTACCCTAGAATTAGTTTATGCCAAAGATATTGAATTTAAAGTCCACGTAACTTATTGCAACTATACACACCGGCTAAAGCAGTTGATGCATACAAAGAAATAAGCAAGATACAGAGTAAATGTAAGTGGTGTGGTGACGTTTAAAAAATTAAAACACTAGGATTAAGTGAACTTAAATATAATTATATAAAAACAGTACATTTTAAAATTGCTCCTAAATTTAACTATAAAAAATACTATTATAATGTGCAAGTAAAACGTGAAAAGAAAAGAAGACAAGATTTCAAAATCTGACAAAAAAATTCCCTGTAAATATTACCTCTTAGCTGAAAGAAGTTTAAATAATGTTATCTGTTATGAAAAGATAAATAGATTTGAATGATGTGCAATGAGAAATATAACACAGGTGTATATGGAAGCTTTAAAAGTGGTCCAAAGGCTAAAGGGCTGAAGACGTAGCGGTAAGTGCTGATGGCACTACATGGTGACGTGTAGAACTATTGCCTTGAGAGGATTCTTGATCTTCCACTGCGATCCATCACTTCTCAAATGCCAATAGTTCAAGCTGTATTCTCATCCACGTTTGAACACAAGTGTCCTGGTATTATCCGTCTCACGCAGTTTATTACATGCCTAAGTCTATCACCTAGACAAACATCAGACTTAATTGTTTCTTACACAATATTTACACGTAGCTCAACAACCTGTTGCACGAGACAAAAAATGCAAAATACGAGGAAAGATCGAAGAACATCTTCCATTCCATGCAGCTGACATACGTGTATAATGCAACCACGCTAGTAAAGCGAATCACACTGGGAGCGTTTCATACGAAAGTGGAATATAAAAATATGTTAGGTGAAATACACGCACTCATTCCCTTATTTCTATAACACATGTTCCGGAATGTTTTTGAAAGCCATGGCAAAGTAATGCGATTCAGAATGAGAAATGAAGCGACGAATCGGCTTAGAGACAACTCTCTTGAGAATAAAAAGTGAAAAGGTTATGGAACACTAATCAACGCGAATAACAAAAGTTCACATTTCTGAACGTCTGTTTCAGCATCAGGTCGCTAAATCGATAATTTGTGTTTACTTTAATACAAGAACGTATAGTCATCTTTTACAAAAGGTAAACACTACAAACTGTAGTCCACATTTCTAAGTAGCTACTCACTGTCATTAAACTATAAGAAGAAAAATATCTGTGGAGAGGGCTTCGATGTTTCGTACTGATGAGTAGGCCTGAATAAACCTTCTGCTTCGATAAATTGAGAGCCAAAAAAAGTTTATACATAAATCAGAAATGAAAATAATACTGACGTATATTTATTAGTCAATATTCACGCTGCAACCTACACGGTGTAATGGAAAGTGCATGGTGCAAATATAAAAATGTTGCATGATAATATTCCGAGATATAGAACCACGAGAACACTATTATATTATACAAACTTCTAGACGCTATCATGAAATGTTTAGGCACCACATCGATTAGGGGCCCGGGATTTCTACAGGCCTGTCGATGAGGGTCACAGAGGGTAAACTGCAACATGTCAAGAGAATGTCCGTTTAGCGCATTAGAAAAACGACAAATCTGAACTTGAAGCACGTCTTGCATTAATTTCAAAAATCGGAATTCACGGAATGAGTAGGAATGACTGTAGAACTAACAGAACTGGCGTAAAGAGATTCAAGACTTTATTCTGTCTGAAATTTTATTATTTCATAGTACACATTATCACCAGCAAAAAGAAGCTAAACTTTCTATTTGCTTCAGTTCTTCTGTTTTCCTTAACTTCAAGTGATCATGACTTGTAAAACAAAGCCGATATGTACCAGAAATACACTCGAACAATTGAAATACATTGTCCCTTGTGTCAGACAATAAATTCAGCAGATACATGTTTACATTTGCACCCATTACCGAGAGTTTTATTTCAAATGACATTAAACACATCTAAATTATTTTTTGTGAATATATAGTTTAAGTGGAATATCATACAATAAAATAACGCGATACCTGAGATTCTGAGTCGCATTTTGTATTCATGAATTTTGTATGATTATTGCTGTACATAGTGATTATTCCCTTAAACAGCATTTATCAGATGATCTTTTTAATAGCAAAATGTGGTGTTTCCCTTACGGTACAGACTGGATTCACAAATATAATTTAGACGAGCTTCAAACGGTTAACAAGGAACTGAGTATATATTACGATTATGCGGGACCTGAAAGCAAAGTGAGTAGCAGAAATTCGTTTCCAAGCTTAGGCTTATAATAACCGAATGTAATTCTGGCATTTAAATAAAACAATTATATACTTTAACAAGGGCATATATGATGGACCTGGCAATTCCTGTAGCTGCACTGGAAAAGTTCCAAGAATTCTTTGTGTGTGACAGCAGTACGGGACTTACCGGATCCGATAGTTTTAATATTATGAACTGTAATTGTCTCTTAGGCAATTAAAAAAACCCTGATTTTGCAGATACTACGGCGGAAGTAATGAAAACTCCAATTTGGACAACTAGCAGTTCGGCGGAGATTCGACCCTGATTACCCCCTAAATAAGAGTTTACAGCGTTACCGCTACGTTAACCTACTGGATAATATTACTGTCGTATCATGCTGTGCATATTAGCGGACTTAACTACTTTTTGTTCAACATATTTCTTCACCACATCATCAATAAGCAGGCCACATCGCGGTAAATGACGATGCTAAAAGCTCCACCCTTCATGTGGACATCACAGTTCCACCCAGGTATCACACGTAATATAGCATGAGTTGCGTGTATTTGTCTCCTCTAACGGCTTACGATTGTTTATGATTACTTCGGACTATTTTTGGTTCTCTGCATTCCCTCCATGATAGCACGGCCATTTAC